TTTTTGTTGACCTTTGTCCATGGAAGGTCCCTGCAAAATTTCATTGAAATTGGTTCAGGGGTTTTGGAGAAGAAGTCGAAAATGTAAATTGTTTACGGACGCACGACGGATGACGACGGACAAAAGGCGTTCGCAATAGGTCACTTGAGACTTTGTCTCAGGTGACCTAAAAACTTAATATTGACACCGCCGTTACCAAAAAAGCAACACCTTAGGCTCGCTTTCACTTCGTGGCGGCGAGACAAAAATCTGTGACATGTTAACACTACACCTGTATTAAGAAAACTTACCTGTGCGGTTGTGAGTTTGGAACACATCTCACAGATACTGTCGACGTCGGCGACGGTTTTTCTGGCCTGTAGGAGCTGGGACGCCTGGATGATAGGTTCCATGGTAACCTGAGCGCCCACTTCGTGTAGTTTGTTGTCGCGTAGCCACTGCTCCAGGTGACTAAGGTTGTACCGGATCTGCATGCCCTTGGACCAGTTACACATATCCTTCCTTAGCAACAGGTTGTTAAGGGCGCCCGCACATATAAAGTAGTACAACTAGTGGGAGAAAAGAAAATCAAATATTATGACAAATTTTAATCATTGTAGATTTTCTAGTATATGTTTCTATGTCACTCGTTGCCTATATGAAAGAAGTACCTGAATTTCAATGCATTTAAATTCTGCTTATTTGAAGAAAAGGTTCTGATTTTTTTCAAGGTTACATAAAATTTTGTCTCTTATTTTACCAGTAATTTTGTTTAACCCTTTCACCCCTATGTAACTTCAGTAAACTCTTCAATGTATTGTTTTTACATTTATGAAAATGTTAATATGATAACAGCTGAACTGAAGTAAATAATGTTAATGAAGATAAAATAAATACAAATACTGCTTCACCAGTAAGTTTATTTTGTTGACAATTAACTGATATTCTGTGACAAACTTGTGTGTTTACCTGTCTGAAGATCTGCTTAACAAGCTCCGGATCAACAGCATGCTGAGTTAATACTTGACTGTACTTGTTCATCTGGAAATGAAAGCAAAGAAAATCATTAACTTTGTAATTAACCAAACAGATAAGTGGTGGTTTGATAAACGAATCTCGAAAAATAGCAATAAATTCTCTGAAGGTAATGCTTTTATTTTCTGATTGCAATGATTTCAATTCCTTTATCTTAATAAACTCGGAATACATTTTATATAACAAAAGTGTGATATCTATTGGACTTAAAGTCAAATCTATATAAAGAGATCACCTTTTGGAAAATCTACAAAGAGTATTCCTAATACAGGGTCATTTCACATTGAAATCGCTACAATGGAAAACATTCAAAATGGTGTCTTAATGGAGCTGGTTATATAGGCAGGTTTGACTGTATATCACAAAAGTTTTACTGACTTAACTCTAGGTCAAATCTTTATAAAGAGACCTCCCAAGGTTAGGATCAAAAGTGGTCTTTCACCAGAGTTGAATGTATAGTAAACCTCTTTTGTGAGGACGAGAAAACTGGTGGTCTGTTTAGAGAAAGGATTGAGGAATAGAGGCGGTCTTTGAGAAGATTCCATTATTTCCCCTGTTTCAATACTTACAGCCTTCATGAGAGAGTCGAGGGAGAGTTCCTTTACATTGTCTGGATCGGTGGCAGTACTGGACGATCGTCCTCGCATCCCCGACGGTTTACTGGCCGTGAGACCCGCAATAGCCTCGTGTTCTAGCACCGCAGCCACTACAAAGGGAAACAACTCCAATTAATACTCAATGCACACGATGCCTGAAAAGCACTAAAATACTGTTCCCTCCACAACTGAACACTGGGGTTTAAATCCCCGACAATATAACAACCATTTATCGCTAGTGAGTTTTACAACACTTTTTTTCCAGCATTTAAACACAATTCACCAATATTATTGATAATCACTTTATTTTTGTAAGTACTGTTTTTATTTGCACATAGTATTTTGACTGGCTTATTCCTAAGGTTTTTTGTGTAGTCTCATTATGTTTAAGTATGTATGTATCATAATGACAATCAAACTTAGCCTGACACTTATTACAGGCACTGAACAAATTGGTTAAATTGAAACATTTCTAGGGACAGCAAGCAAGTGTGACATGTACAGACAGACACAAATTAAAGTTCCTTTTTTTCTCCAAAAGCAGGGGATAAGATTTTGTACTAAGTTTCATAAATCTCATATGAAATGTAAACAAATGTAAGTTTCCTTTTACACAGGACCCCCAACTTTTTTAAGTAAGTAGGTGTCAAAGTCTACAATTCTGCCATATTGGCTCTTAACAGCCATTTTGTCATCATAATAGTATCTGGAAGTCTGTGGTGTCATATTATTACGATTTCATGACGTCACTGGTGGTTAAACTACAATAGTTCATACCCAAATCTGCTCAAGCGACCATCTATATCAAACAACCATCTGTTTTATGCGACCACTTTTCATTCCTCCAGACTGTTTGTACTATGTAATTTAACTGAATTAAGAGACCATCTGTCTAACACAACCAGCGACCACCCTTTACTGACCCCGAAGATTATATTAAACAACCACATATAATATTTTTTTTGCGTTTTTGATAAAATATGAAATTCTTGTGTGACTGTATAAATTTGTTGAAGGGCTTCTTAACGGCCATTTCACCAAATTCAGTGCACAAATTTGATGAAATCAATTTCCCAACTTAAAATACATTCATTGGTTGTCTAACCCTTGGGAGAGCCTCAGATTAGACAACCAAAAAACATAAACATTCAAGTAGGAGATTTCTGTCACACCCTCAAGGTAGGGGATGATTATTTTTCTCCCATCTTATTATTTCAGTCACAACTCCACCGACAGTAGTCTGCCATGTTTGTAAACAAATACACATGTGGAGTATGAATATCATCAGTCACTGATGATGTCACAATTACTGGTGACACATTTTAATGATGTCAAAATTGAAGGTTATCTCCCCCTAAGGGGTGTCAAGCTGATCTTTCCCAGCTAAAACGAGAGACACACTTGTGAAGGGTGGGAGAAAAACGTACCAATCATGGGCTGTATCGTTTCCTCCATCAGTTTTATTAAGGTCTGGTAGATCCACACTGCCAGGTCACTGAACACCTGACGATATTCCGACAGGTCAAAGTTCCTAAGGCAGTGTTCGTTCTGACGTGTGTTGTTGTCCGACTGGAACGCCTGTTGGGATGTTAAAAACAATATAGAAATGTAAAATTCATGACTTTCATTTATATCATATCATCGTACATCATCTCAGAAACCCGATACATAAATATGTTCTTGTCTGGCTGAAACGCCTGGTTTGACGACAAAAGTAATATATAAATGAAAGTTCCTGCCTTAATTCTAAATCCTGTACAGTGCATCTGCAAAACCCAATTCATATTTGTTATTCCAGTTTTGATACACAAATCTCCTCTATTATTGGAATATTTCTGTCAGGATCACCCCAAATTTGAATCAAGAGATAATTTGTTGGTCACCTGGGATCTGAAATGCTTACAACAGGTTGATTCATGCAGCAAAAGTCTGATTTTCTTAAATTTTGGAGAAAAAAATGAAATTGACATATTCAGATGAAAACATTTTATGGGAAATATTACAAGGCATATGATCAAGTGTCATGGCGTAAAGCTTATATCACAGCCTCTTACCTTCTCCCCGCTGTACTGTTTGAGTGTGTGTAGCAGACGACAGGTATTGGCCAGCCACAAGGTCACACGGTCAAGGTCACCATGATGTTTCTGTATGAAAAATATATATATCACAATAAAACATCGTTTTTAAGAAATACAATATTCTTTATTAATGCAAGAAGAATTCTTGTTCATTTTTTTTCTTCATGAAACAGACAATAGTTTAGGGTTCTTCAAATAACCAACCCTAACCATATTATCAAAATCTATTCAAAAATTAAAGTAAGAAGAAGGTAAAGATAAATTTCTTTAAATATTTCATATAACAGATTCATTTCACATCTTTGTAATTTTATTTATCTTTCAATATTTTTACATTTAATATTCTGATACAAAAATTAAGTTTGCCGTGGCATTAAGTTACCTCCCTTGTCTATTCATTCAGTACATGAATTAGAGTTACCTACCTTGACACACTTCCTCACACTGTTGATGGAGTTGGTGAGGAGGGCGCGGACCTTTTCGTCGTCGTTGATATAGTCTGTGTGTCGTACACACATGAACAGTATATAGGCAGGTAGACCGGGTAACAACCCGCCGGCAACTTTGGGCTTCAGGTCTGGAAAACATGAATATGTTGAAATGTTTATAATATACAGAGACAAAATAGTGACTTTCACCTCTTTCCCAAAAGAGTTTCACACTAAACACAACATTCCAATATAAATAAGGTTTATGTGAAGGAGAAAGGCTAAAACTGACCATACTTTAAGAACTTATAGATAAACTTTTGAATTTCATGTTTGATGTTGTACAAACTTTTAATAAGCTGGGTTACTTATTTAACCTTAAAGTTGTATATTTTGTTAACATTGAAAAGTCAAATTCTCAATTTTTCTTTAAGCTTGATTATAGCTTTTTTTTTTTTGCAGCATAAAGTTTAAAAATAATTTATTTAATTCAATGTAATAATGTACATGATCCCCCTCACACTTTTCCAACCAGAAGTATTAAGTGGAATGAAAGACCAGTCTGAGGCCAGATCTCCATGAACAAATAGTTTGTATTGGTTACATTGCTCACCCATGATAAGGTTTTTGATGAGTACGTTTTCGTCTTCCTTTTTATACTCCAGCATGCCCATGTACATGCGTTCCCTGTGTTTGATTGTTGCGACGTTGTCCACGCTTGCTTTGGCGTCATCCTGCTCCAGTTCTGCAGCAATCTCGGCAGCTGTGAAGTAAACACCAGCGTCAGAAATAAAGATAACATATCACAGTATGATACATTATTAGTTTGTGTAAGACTTTAAAAGTTATTATATCGTAGTGGGGATATTTGTTTATTTTGATATTTTGTCATGGAGGGGATATTTGTTTATTTTTGATATTTTGTCTTGGTGGGGATATTTGTTTATTTTTGATATTTTGTCTCGGGTAAAACAGGCTATGAATCGTTAATATTGTTCTAATCTTATTAGTGATTACTTTAATTGAAAATAAGAAAGTGACAATTCTTTTATATATAATATTAAAAGTCAGGAATAACAAAGAACGGATGAGAGCCAACTATGAAATAATAGGAGACAAATTTAAACAGAAGGGAGATAATTTTGAAAGGAATGGAGACAACTTTAAAAGGAAGAAAACTGACTCCATGAAAGCAACAAGAGAAATCTTTATGCAAGAGGAGATAATAAAAGTAAGGGAGATAACTGATAAACATACCCTCGCCATCCTTCAGACGCCTGGCATACACCTTCAGCATTTTCTTCAGCTTTCGCGTTTGGTCAGAGTTCTTTTCTATCGTCTCTCGTAGATCCTGCAACCAAAATCAATATTTAAATTTGAAATTAATATTTCAATCAGTCCCTGAAAAATCATTCATTTCTCTATCAAAGCAATAAACGACTTAATGTGGTGAGTGTTTTAAAGGAATTTATACAGATCTTGATTAAGATCCTGTTGAATTAAAACCTAAGAAACAAAGCAGTAACATACCAGATTCTCCGACGTGAGTCGGGTGATCTCATGCTGCATCGTAGCCTCGATCCTAGCCTCCGGAGACAGGGAGATGTTCTGTAAATACAAAGTTAGCCCATTAATACAATTTGACTGATACATATTCAACAATATGTCCACATCCATTTATCTAAGTTCAATATCAAACTCATTGTTTCTTCTTACATTTTTTTCCCATTGACTTTAGTAATACTTGTATAAACTGACTGCTATCATCTATAATACTTAAATTTCAATTTCACATCTTAAAATTTCATTAAAATTCTACATTTCTCTCCTTATTCCTTCCCCACCCCTTAAATGAAATATAAGATTAAGTATAAGATTTTCAGATTTCATAATATTCCACTACATACATAACAACCATATTTAGAAATGTTTGTTTTTATTTCAAAATTACTGTAATGAATAACGCTGATATAACAATAAACAATGAATTAACAGTCTTTCTTTACACTGTGATTGTCCACCGTTTGTATAACACTTATCATTGTCAATGCTAGTACCCTGCATATCATGGATATGGTTTCCATTATTTCTTCCTTATTTTTTAGTTTCTTGTTTCTTGTTAGTAACTTGATAAGGATCAATAACCACAAATTCTTTTAATGGGGAAACAACAACAGCGAACATATCATGAGAAAGACATGCTTTGAATTTTTGTATATTGGAAAAAGAACAACATGCCTAAAAGAATTTTAAGAAAAAATTGCATGCTTCAAACCTTTGCATACATTTAAAAAGATTTTATTTTAATCAATTTAAATTGATTTAAAAGAGATGTTAAGGACTCTGCACTAGTTGAGATAAAATGAGATAAAATACTATGATTTGTTAAAACAAATATATCTAATATTACTGGGTCAGTTTTACAATTTTTTTAATGAAAGGAAATCCATTAATTTCAGTGGGGATTTTACCATTGAAAAGCAATAGCCGAGTTGAAAGAAAATTCCGTTAACTTATAATTTTCCTTCAAAATTCAGTGATGCTTTTCAACAGAAATGTTAGAGCTAGGAAATTATGTTAAGTCATAAGACTGGAACATATAAAATTCCTATAGACTTTATCAGTCCAATCCAATATGGCCACCACCTATTCTGAGATAATATTGAATTATGGGTGCTCTCATCACCATGGTTACTGAGTGCGGCAGTATGTTTATGTCAAAATTATATATCATATTGTATTTCCAAACAACAAAGTTAATCATACATCCTGAACCTGCTGATACATTTACTGTATACCGGGAAATGTTTGCTACAGTTTAATTTTGGCCTTTTGCCCATTGTAATGAGGGCAAATTTATTATGACAGCAAACATGAGAAAAATTAAGTGAAAAATTAAATGTGAAGGGCGAAATTAAAAATGGGCAAATATGGATTTAAAGCCAAAGGGCGAAAGATTGACTGTGAAAATTTCCCGGTATTTAGTGATGTTTTGAAACCAGTTAAAAGTTTTAAATTTTGTCAAGTTACTTGTATTATGTCTTTTTACACTGCATGATTTTGTGTTTCTTTTAAAAAAATAATTTAATTCAACTTCTGTTTCAGCAGATGAATTCGTGATAATTATGACCAGCAATAGTTCTTACGTTACATAAACATACACCACAACCTTAAATAATGATATAATATAGAATACAATGTAATGTCTTGGTTAATATAGGAGCAAACATGGTTAATATTAACGTAAGCGAACAGACAACCAACAATCTGTCATGGTGACGTCGTATATAACTTAATTTGCATACAACACCTTGTTTTATACATAAGCCAAAATAACATGTTTCTGATTTTCCTTCCTCACTTGGTTGTGCCTATTCAATCTTTCATTTTTATTTTTGACGAATTTTATCCAATCACTGTTCAGTCAAAAATGCTGTTACTAAATAACTTTTGAAAAACATTTGTCAATATAAAAGGTTTTGCCTGAATATAAACCTAACAGTCCGATTTTTTTGAAAGCCTAAAATTGAAGCATACATTTTTTAATCCAACACTGATGTAGCTACAGTTATTTTTTTTAGGTTAAAAAAAATAAAAATATGTAAGAATTATTACAGTGTAATTTCAAATCTTCCCATGACAAAAAAATGTCTTCAAATAAAAATACATTTTCTGAATATTCACTAGATTAATTTAGTAATTAAATGATAATTAATGTAAGGAGATCAAGATGTTGTATACATGATATATATATATAGATCTATATAACATGAAATATAGCTCCATCCATTAGCAGTGATATGATGAGGCCCAATCGGGGATGGATTTTTTCTGTCTTATTTTTGGCATATTTTAATCAAGTAAATACTTAATGTTGTACATGTGTATTTTTTCTTCTTATTCGAGTAACAGCATATTATTTTGGTGATATCAAATGTAAATCATGATGGATTTCTCCGAACCAATACCTCCATACCCAATTGGGCCTCTTAACTATGAACCAATCAGAACAATACATAACGGAAAATGGACTTGTGGGATAAACTGTACTTAATAACCTTTACACAATAGTGAAACCTTGACTTCTGTTTTAGTTCAAAATTTAGTGAAAATTTAATTTTAATCACTAATCAAGTATATCTATATTTTTGTTTAAATATCCACATTAGCAAATAATTAATCATCATGACAAATTATTTGAAGAAAAATGCTTTAACGATTGAAAAATTGTCATAAATGTAAATCTTAAAAGTTGAAAAGTATCTTTAAAGTTTGTTATCATGCGAGAGAAGAGAAAAGATGAAGACGATGATATGTTTATGAAAAGCTATATATAGTAACAGCCAACGTGTGCTTCAGGAAGAATTGCAGTGAATATTATAAAAAGAACATTTAATCTAGAATGAGTCTTTGTCTATGGTATAAATACATTACTACTTCTCTAGTATATAATCTGAAGCATATATGTTTGAGTGTCTTGTTTGAAGGACATATTGCTAAATAGAGTGAATTATCTCCCCTTCATATCTGTTCACTGGAAAAACCTCATTTAAAGTTCTCATAACTGAAATATTCTATTTCTTCAATTTTTTTACAACTAGTCGTAATAAATGAAGATTTTAATTTAAGGCTGTATGTTACCATATTCAGTATCCTTTGGATTTGTATTGAATTATCTCCCTTAAAATCTACATCAGCATTATATAGGCTGTTTCATAAAACCTTAGTCCATGCACTTCTTGTGTCCTCAATCAAATGATTGAATTCAACTTACTATCTATTTAGGACATTTTGCATGTAAGAGTGGACCTTTTGGAATGGAGGGGCATGTCACAGTTTGGGTAGTGTACACCCATAAATTAATCTTTATTAAATAATCTATGGTTAACAACACTTGTTTCAGACATAGAAACATTTTTTTGTAAATATGATCATTGTTTTCACGATCTAAAATAATAAGTAACACAATGGAAGAGAGAGATTTAGTGTAAAAAAAAAAATTCATCCAAAATGAGTTAAAAATACAAATAAGCTCATTTACTCATTCTATATTCAAAGAAATATAATAAGTTCAAACTGTGTAAAATGTGAAAACAGAATTGATCATGGTTTAACTATTGTAACTGTTCTGAAGAATCAAGAGTTATTTCCCCTTAGCTATTGAAAAACTTTTATAATGCATTTTCTTTTCTTTTTTAACTACTTGATTTTGCTCAAATTCTAATGAAAGAGAAAGGAAGCTAATGATGATTACAATAGAAAAGGAAAGTGAATGTTTAGATCTAATCAACTTTTATTTATTAGCAAGAATGCTGTTATTTTTGCTGTCAGTAAACTTGACGTGTTATAAGTGTAAGGGGAGGTAACTCTAGATGATTTCAAAAACAGTGATAAGTACGGAGACAATATCTACCTACATGTGATTTTTTACGCTGTGAAAAAAATAAGATTAAAACGACTACTAAATAAATGACTAAAAATCACAGGAAAACAAATATTTGTTCTTAAATTATGACAGGTACGAAGTTACACAGGTAAATAATGACAAATAATGTAAATTGCTTAATTTTCACAGGAAAACTTCAAAAAAAAGATCGTCAAATTTATAGAATTATTTTACTTACTTTCATACTTTTGTTTTCAGTTTTTCTTTCTCTTACTTATCAAAATAATATAATATTAGGTGTATTCCTTGTTCAAATATTAATGTCATGTCTCAAAAATAAATATCCAAAGAATGATTTTGACCATCATTTACTACCAATAGAAAACCACTGCAAGCAAAATCTTGTATTTATAAAGGCTTGGCAAGAAATATTGGCAGTAAAAACATTTGTGAAATGTAAACAATTTACAATAAAAATAATCCTTAAAATATTTTATATATTTCATCATATACACATATACATTAATATTATTGTATTTGACCTAACAAATGCCCCATAAGCACCACCTATTTTGACAAAACACCATTTTGTCAACAAAATTTACAAAATCACTTCAAAAAACTGCCTGCTATGGCTATTCTTTTTAAATAGGTTGTAAGTCTGGCAATCGCTCCAAATTCTCAGGACGTTTACTTGGTCAAATACAGCATACATATATATATATACAGCAAATACATTTTAACTGTAATAAGTTTCACACGGCCAGTATAATTATAATGTTAACTTTCATTCAAATAATACAGGAACTTCCATCATATTAAATAATATAAAAGTAGGCTTTAATTCCCATTGAGATTCAGACCTCATCCTTTTCCACCTTGTATATTTAAGAACAAATAAAATATATTAAAAATTTAATATCCTGTAAGGACTTTTTTCATATTTTTTCTTAATCATGTAGAGGCCTTTAAGCAAATTTTTGAACAGGATATAATTTTGTTTTTATTTTTTAAATTAAGACAAAATAAACAATTGTTTTAAGTAGCCCTAACACAACATTTTTTTTCCTGATTGAAGGACTGTGGAAATTTCCTAATCACACTTGAAAATCCCTGATATGAGTATATATATATGTGTTAACTCCAATACATTTATGTACCTATAACTCACATACATATGTATAGTAGTTATAACTGAAGCATCCAAGATGCATAACTACATTATTGTTTGACAATTTAAACATACGCTATAATAATGTTAATATGTTTTCTCATTTACAGGAAAGTATTATATTTGAAATTTTGACTTATGTTTTTATGTCATAAGGAGATAATGAAAATTCTATTTAAAACTATTCACTTTCAAACTCATATTTTGACTTCAAAATTTAATACTTGAAGGATGAGATTAAACCCAAACTTGAAGGATTATGAGACATATATCTCACATCTTTCCTTTTGATCAAGGTAACCTGTACTGTATGCAGTATTAAAGACTCTGAGAATCTCGTCTGAAGTAAAAGGTGTAAGCAACAGTAATGATAGATTTTTTAACCTTGTTTACAATTTAGGTCTCTAATTAGTACAGTTTCTATTTTATTTTATTTTTTCTGATTTTTGGATTGATTTTTTTTTAAATACCTAACAAATAAAAATAAGTTATGTTTTTCAACTGCTCCTGTCATCTAAGTCAGTAGATAAAGAAGCAGAAGAAAGGTATTTTTTTGCTGTATTTGTAAGTAACAATCCAAGATGGCGGCACCATGGAAACCGAGATCATATTGATGGGGGATTTGATTTGTAATCTCAAGTAGGTAGAAACCAAACGAAGTAAGAGAGACAGAACCGAGCCTAATTTCCGTGATATCAGCTATATAGTCAGGCAAGACCCATTAATTCTGTTGTCTTTGTTCCACATTAAACGTGGCTAGAGAAAAGATCACTCGGAGAGAACTAGGACACAATAAGAAATAAAAATCCATTTCCTCATAAAATTATTTGGAAAGCTGAGAAACAATACCTGTGATAACGGGTTTAACAAAGTTTAAAACTGTACATAACATATTATGTAAACTCAATCTTAACTTTTAGATGCCGATCAATTCTGGTGCTTCATTTGCCATTAAATGATAAAATTTAATGTGACCGTTAATTATTTTAAGGTCCAAGAAAATAGTTGTCATGACAACACTTACCTGAGTTATCATTTTCTGTTGTTCATCGTTATCTTTCTTTAAGTGTCGGATCTCCTTTTTATATCCCTCTTCCTTTTTCTTTCCTTCTTTCTCTGTCTTTTGTAACTGGTTTTCCAACAATCTGTAATGTGACAGGGTATTGTAATGATAAAATACTATAAAGTCATTGCTAATTAAATAATAAACACAATCATAAAAAATATTAATGTGAGTTATCTCCCTTCGTTTTTTAGTGACACATCAGTAGCGTACAACCAATCTACATATATAATATAAATGACACTTTTTGGTAGAACTATCAGATGTTGGCATTTAGTTTCTGTCAAACCAAAAATTACAGTATCTTGATTAATAATCAACTTAAAGAGTCTCTCATCATAAAAATGCGTATTTACCAGTTACCTCATCTAATTAACATTTATATATCCAACAAAATATTATCTCCCTTCATTTACATATACATCCAACGAGTTATCTCCCTTCATTAAAACAAATCTATAAAATGAAAATTAAATAAATAGTTATCTCCCTGTATCCAAAAGGAAAGAACTTTCATAAAATAATATACCTTCATTTTCAATTTTTTGAGGAATTAAATTAAATGATTGAACATTTCATCTAAATGTAAAATATTTGATTAAAATTATTTCAACAATTATAATAAAATCTGCTTTGGATTTAGTAAAACCTTTCATTTGATACATTTTTATTAACCTTGCACAATGTTTGATCTGCACAAAATTGGATAAGCATTGATTTGTAGTTATGTTTTACCTGACTATTATCAAAGTAGGCATTTTTTGTAAGTTTTAAAAGTGTCATCAATTTATAAACTGGAGTGTGGAACGCTTCTTAAAAGAAGATAGTAATGTCCCTGTTGACAGGTAGCATACATCCTTAATCCGGTATGGATTTCCCTGTAATTCCTGATCTGAGAAGAATCTCCCGACATATAAGCTACATACAGATGACCTTCTCATGTGACCCCCGCCTAGACTCCGTGATCTCATGACAAAATATTGGTGTCAATTTTAACTTTATCACACACGGTGGATTATACAGGTGTGAGAGTGTGTTATGTAATGATACACCTGTACAGATAGGACGAGCTGGTCAGCCCAGAAATACAGGTATGGCTGCCGGGCTGTCAGGATCCAAGGTCACATGAAGTCATTTTTCAGAAAAGAAATGATTTGAATCTAATCCAGAACAAAGGTTATAACTTCATAGGCATTAATGTCAGCAGTTTGGATCAAAACTATTTAAAATTCAACTTTTATTATTATGTGAAAATGCTACGGGGCCACTTTTGAACCCAGGACCTCGGATCATAATATAGCCACTCTAACCAACAGATCTGTGCTAGATTGAAGGTCCCTTGTCCCACTACAGTTGCATCTTTTGAACAAATATTAAGGGGAGGTAACTGTATGTAGAAAAACTATTGTGAATTTTTTATATTGTTTTGCCTGCTGTGGGACAGGGATCCTTAAAAAATAAATTTTAGAGTGTTTCCCAAAATTGTATCTGTTCTTACCGTTCACTGATTTTACATCAAGAACACAAAATAGAAGCCTTGTAACACATGAGTATGAACTTATATAATCTCACGTCTTACCCCTCACAAATCTCACACATTAAAACATAAGGGGGTTCCTCAGGACACATGGTAGATTTATCGGATGTAGATATTGTTTCTATTCGTAAATTCTTCATACATTCCTCACATGTACAGAAATAATTGTTTTCAGGATTATATTCAAAATGGCCGTTAGGCAAAAAGATGTTGTCTCCTTCTTCAGATATCGGGTGTAACCCTGGTCGCTGGTTCGGGTTTGATCCATAACAATCATAGTATTGCAAATCCCCGTTTTCATTTAGCTCTTCGTCATCAAACGTTTGACAATCAGCGTCGATGTGTTCAAAAGTGTGTTCATGATTGCATGTGCATTCAACCTCTTCTAGTGTCATGTGACTTTCTTGTGGCATGTGACTGTTCGGTGTCATATGACAGTCTGAAAGATCATGGTCTACTTGTGATGTATTGTGATGGACAGATGACGAAATGGCACCATTACGACACTGGGTTTGAGGTTGTTCTTCAAAAGGAATTTCGTACATGTCCTGTGTTGGACTATCGCTGACGAAAGAACCTTCGCTGTCCGAACTATAATCCTCTGCTAATCCATTGTCTGAGAAATGATTGACTGAAACTTCTCCCTTACTCTGGGTTTCACAAATGTTTGAATTAACGACTGTCTGATTCTCAGAGACACTTACTTGTGTAGAAATCTGAGAGTCAACATGAGACTGATCATGAGATTCTTCCGCACTGTTGTTTGAAATATCAGCAAAAATCTGATTCCCTGAAATGTTTGAATTTTGATGAGATATTGATTTGGAGATGGGTGAAAATGTAGGATTTTCAGAAACAGCTGTATCAATGAAATCAATTTCTGTTGATCTTGAATGAGTTGAACTTTGACCTGAAAGATCAGAATCCATAGAATCAACAGAAATTTGTCTTGTAAAACCAACACGATCAGGCTTCTCATGAGCTTGAGAAGTTGAATCATCAACAGTCCCATTTTCAAAAATGCTTGAACTTGCATGAGTCTGTGTCATAGAAATGCTTGAATTAATATCAGAGGATAAAATGGAAATGTTTGAATCAGCATGATTATGTGTCACACTACAGCTTGACTCTGTCACTGTCTGTTTCACAGACATGTTTGAATCATTTTCTATCTGTGTCAAGTCATGGTTTGAATGAGACTGAATCAGTGAAACGTTTGAATTTGTCATTGTGCTTTCATTGTTATTGCACAAAATATTTTCTATCTTTGAGATATTTTCCTCCTCGTTACAATCGTCTGGTGGCAAATATCCGTGAGAATTAGCACTTGAGGAATCAATTTCAAAAATCTGGTAATCTGGTTTTGATGAAACTGTAATTAAACCTTCAGAGACTTCTGGTGAATCAGGTGCTGCATTGCTTTCTGAATTCGTTGACCGAAGTTGGTCCAAATCCTTGAAGATGACTCCGTCTATTTCAAATGATCCTTTTGTTACGTGAACCTTTCCACTGGGTGAGCTGTGCTGACTCCTCTCCTTCCCATCAGGCGGCCATTTTGCATCAAAATCAGCTCGGTCACTCAGAATGACCCCACTGTCCAGACTCTCGGGTGACTTTTGACCAGTGTCCGAACTGTAACCAGTTCCTGTATCAATGTGAATAAAATCCTTTTCGCTTCCATTAAATTCCGTAGTCACATTACCTCCCATCATGTGGTTGATGTGTGTAGGAGGCACCCTCAACGGATTAACATGATCCAACGGATTAACATGATTCAACGGATTAACATGGTTCAACGATAAATATCCATCTGTCTCGTCTATTTTGTCCCCACCTTCATCGTACACAGAGTTATCTCCCCTAACCATTAATCCTTGAACAGGTGGTACACGTATTTCCTTCATAGAAATATTTGAGAAGATTTTCCAGTGTTCTTTATCTGCAGTATAGCATTTTAATAAATGCTTTTCCAAAAAAGTTTAATCCAGGTGTAGATTTTCCTCTAAATGTCGTATTGTATAGCACACCTGTGTCCAATGCAATGTCTCTTCCACAATCTGCAAAACAGAAAGAAAAAAATGTTATTCATTATAAATTATGAAATTGAATTATCTAATATATTTCATCAATAGCTCTTATTGAATTTCTCATTAATATCTTGAATTAATTTGTATCTGATAAACTAAGGGAGAATGTAATTGTTAGATCAATAATAATATGCTTTTTGAAGTAATTGTTTAGGTAAAAAATAATCACTTATCTGCCCATAGTGGTAAAACAGTGCCAGGCTAGATTTACATGTCTTTTAACTACCTTACAAAGAAAACACCTAATTGGAAATTACAGCACCATAAGTTATCAGCTGCCTATCGACTTCACAATTAAATTACTACTGACTGAATGATCCATCTCGCTTTGGATGACTTATACATTTCAAAATGTTTTACCAAACTTGATACATTTCATAACCAAGAGAACAATGAAAAACCTTGTTATACTGCCATTATTTCTCAGGTAAAACCTTGTTATACTGCCATTATTTCTCAGGTGAAACCTTGTTATACTGCCATTATTTCTCAGGTAAAACCTTGTTATACTGCCATTATTCCCAAAGTAAAACCTTGCTAATAACTGCCCTCATTTGTTCGTAGAAAAAAATAGTTTTATTGGTGAAATACGGTATCGCTGTGCAGGAACAGCAACAAATGTTCTCAAACCCAATCCATCACTTTTTTATTCAGCACATTGGTCTAACAAATACCAGAGGCTAGCATTAATCCAGCTGTACACAATAACTGCAATCAACTAAAGATCATGATAGCAAAATTGCCAGAAAGTTGGCAGGGATAATTAACTGTGTACATACACGTGGGGAAAATCCCTGGAGTGTCTACAGCACACGTAGGGACGTGATAAGGCCCGGAATGTTTTAACCTATACAGACTCGGGTTGATCAAACCTTCGTTTAGTTAACAAGTATTCATCACATTTATAAAATTATGCAAAAAGAGAATCTCTATATTATAAAGATATGTACTTTTTATCAATACTTGATTTTCAATGTTCAATTTCAGTGTCAAAAAACAAATGTACGCTATCTTCGAAGAAAAAAAATGATACTGCATGATTTCGTTAATTAAGCTTACCAAGATTTTCTTATTTCTTGTTAGCTTAACGATCTGTCAACATGCATTCTACATTCTTAAAACCAATTTATCAAAAATATTGATATAGCAACATTAAGGGATCAAAAGAAATATTTGGCGATAAGAAACACGAGTAATATATTTGAAAATATGACAGAGATTTGGAAAATTATAGATTTATATACCATTACAACAAAACTTGCCTATAAAGCTAACACAACTTGATGCACTCAGTATGAAGATATCTATAGCTCACATGTCCATGATATTGGCCGAACCGTCATAAAAACAGACGCTGGCGAGAAGAGATAAGACACAAAAACTATAAAACAATTGATACTAAACTGTATTTTATGTCTCAGAAGACAGCAGAATGGACTAGGCTAAAACTGTATCAAT